GGCGTGGAGCTCCGGCGCGGCGCGGACCCCGGGTCGCTCCGCTGCTCTCTCACAGCTTCTGGCGTCGCCGCTCTCCAGCGCCCGCGTCAGCGCCCAGCCCGCGTCAGCGCTGCCGCCGCCGTCGCTGCTGCTGCTGCCGCCGCGACCGCTCCACTTCTACAGACTTGATTCTTCGACAGCCTCGCACGGCGCCTGCGCGGGCCCCCTCCCCTCGCGCGCGCGCCCGCCCTCCCCCGCGCCCGCCCCTCCCCCCGCGCGGAGAACGAGCGCTGCCGGGAGAGCCGGCTCCACGGCGCCCGCCCCGGGTCAGCGCCGCCCGCCCGCGCCGCGCCGGTGGCCCCGACGTGAACACGGTGGGAGAGTGGTTTGCCTTCCTCCACCCGCTCGGCGACCTCGCCTTCAGTCAGGGTTCCCTCTCCTCCAGGTCCATTTGGGCACAATCGTGTGAAAACTCATGTTTTTCAAAGCAACGCCACTTTCTAACTTGGTTCTGTCAATCTCTTGAGAAAGGAGATTTTAAATCTAGCGTGGTTCACAGTTTTGAGATTTTTTCAGTTGTATTTGAACTCTTCAGTAAGTGTTTTTACACTCGCATTTGTCTTGAGGACACGTGTGCCGCCGGTCCCCTTAAGTTTTACTAACATAGGAGAGTCTGACTATGCCCAAGCTTAGGACAGCGTCCATACGCCGTTTCACGGAGCCCTTCCGGAAGGGAGAGCGAACCCTGCCGTTACAAACACCACCAAAGCTCCCTCTCAAGCCCGCTCTCACCTCCCCCCAAGATCACATCCCACCCTGCGGAGCACCAGCCCTCGCGGAGCCACCAACCCCTGCCGCCTTATGTAGGTTCGCTCGGCGTGCGCGTGACGTGGGCGCGGGGCCGCGGGCCCGCGTGCGCCGCCGCCGAGTGCGCACGCTCCGCGCGGACGTGATTCGGCGCCGCTGGCACTGGCGGCCTCATTGAACGAATGCACATTCCAGGGATCCAGGGTCTACGGCCAGCGCGGCGGCGTCACCACGCAGGCTCCGCCCCCACCGCGGACTGTGGACGCCCAGGCCCCGCCCCTGGGGCCAAACTTGGACTGGGGGTGGCGTGGGCCGCGGGCGCGAGCGGCGGCGGGGTCGGTGGCGGCCGTAGGGGTGACGAGGGGGCCGGCCTGCGGGCCGCGCTGGCAGTTGTCGCGCAGGGGCGGGCCGTTGGTCGGCGTCCAGGGCGCTGTGTGGGGCGGGAGCGGAATTGCGCCCATTGCGCGGCCCCGGCCGGGCTTAGCCCCCATTGGGTGCAAACCCGCCTGGCGCGAAGGCGGGGTGTGGCGGCAGAGCCAGCCCGGCCCGCCGCGCTCTGCCACTGTTGGCAGCCACAGACTGAATTGAGCAGTTGAGTTTCACACTTTTATCGGGAGGAGGAGCTGGTGTGTGTTATAGTAAATCACTTTTAGCTGGTCGTTAGTCTTACTAATAGACGCTGGCTTAGTCACCCTCTGTTGGGACTTTTACACTTCAACTCTATAAGGGCGGCCGCTGGAGCTTCTTTTGTTGGAAAACAGGCCCACATCGCTCCCTGAGACTGGAATGAGCTGGTTAAGTGTGGGAAGAACAGGGTACTAATTATATTATCTTCTCTACAACTGGATTGGTAGGTGGAGAGAGAGAAAAAAATCCTGCTGACGTTTCTCTCTAGTTGTTGCTATTGAAAATGCCAGGTTGCTTCAAAGGATTAACCACAAGGAAGAGGAAAAACACCCTTAGAGAAACAGTGCGGGGAGCTGCTTAAAGCACATGAAAAAAACGTGTTCGAAAATGGCACAGAAAACGTAATGCCAGACCTAAATGTTTTTACAGGCTAACTCTGAATGTCCTCTCTTGGGGATTTCCAGAGAAGGTGCGCCTGCCATAAAGGTCTCCCCGTCCGTTCCCGGATCTTGCCCCACAATTGCAATCCCGCCTCACCCTGTCCTAGCTGGGAGAATAGGACCTGCCCAGATCCTTCCAGAGAGCAGCTGGTGCCAGTGGGTTTGGTCACTCTCCGTCCCTGGTGTCACACACCTCTTTCAGACCTGTTCCTGTCCACGGAGACCCTGTGCCCCTATTCCAGCACGCGTTTCTCCCCCCCACCCCCACCCACCAGCCATTACCCAAAGGAGATGAGGCCCAGTCTTTGTGCTGCAGAGAGATAAGCCATCTCAACACCCCCAAGAGATGGCTCCACTAAGCAGTGATTGAAACATATTAAAAGAAAACAAGTCGGTGTTAGAGCCACGGCCTAATTATTCTCATTTACCTGCAAGCGGCCACTGTAATACCCTCAAGGGAAAACCTGCCACTCCAACCCAAAATAGAAATACTGAGATACAAATTCTGCCTTGAGAGGCACTAAGTAAGGATTTTTGTAGAACAGAGCTTTTCTTCTCCAAAAGAGCATTTCCTTTTTATTTTTCACTACCAGTTTAATGTCGAAACTGAGTTGTTGTAACTTCCCTAATGAAGTGCCCGCTGGAAAATGTCTATTTTAGTTTTGGTCTCCCTGGCCATAAAAGGATCCGGGATCCAGGGGGTTAAGGCTGGCCCTGGATTCAGGGCAGCAATTCCTTATATTGTATCAAAAGTCTTTCATGCTGCCTGGCCTTTCATGTAGCTCTGAAGCAGCTTTATCGATGTATGCTAAGTAAACATAGCTTTGTTTTTGTCTTCCACCCACCGCCCTCCCTCCCGGCACAGACTGGAGTTGGATCCCTTCCAAAGCGGCTGCTGCAGCAGTTACAGCCACCGCCTCCACACACAGGAGCAGGGTTTCTAGGGTGAGGCAATGCGTCTGCAATTCGCAGAGACAAGGCAGGAATTGTAATTGTAGTTCATCATGTGATGACTTATGAAAGAGGAAGTTGGTATGTTTTAGTCACGTAGACTCTGCCCTCTTGCTTAAGGCTCCAGGTCCTCTCAGAAGAGAATTATGATAATCTTCGCCACTCATAGTCAAGGTTACCGGCTTGGCTGCAGTGTGCTGCTGCACATTCATATGTGGACAGGCAGGCGGATGCTGCGCGACGGGTTGGTGGGGCAGTGGGTTGAGGCTAGCTTTTAACTAGAAGGCTGAAATGCTGCAATTTGTCTTAAGAGCTAAAGGAAATCTATGGAGAACACTCTTGCTGAGACTAGACGAAGCAACTGTCTTTTCCAGCTCTAATTTCTGACTTTTTAAAAAAATAAAAATCACAGTTTAGGAGCAAAAGGAAAGCCATTCACTGTGATACTACCAAAAAGCAGGAGTAAGAGGGGCTGGCCTGGTGGCGTAGTGGTTAAGTTCATGTGCTTCACTTCGGTGGCCCCGGTGTTCACAGGTTCCAATCCGGGGCGTGGACCTACGCACTGCTTATCAAGCCATGGTGTGGCAGGTGTCCCACATATAAAGTAGAGGAAGGTGGGCATGGATGTTAGCCAGGGCCAATCTTCCTCAGCAAAAAAAAAGAGGAGGATTGGCAACAGATGTTAGCTCAGAGCTAATCTTCCTTGCAAAAAAAAACCCCATGTAAGGGAAATGATCAGAGGGCAAACCAAAGGGAGCAGTTCTAAGCAACAGCTCAATGGGTAGAACAAATCTGACCTCCCCACACTGAGATTTACATGAGCTTCCAGTGTGAGAGCATTAAACATCTAAAATCTGAATCTGGTCCCTGGAGCTTGCTCCATTTGAGATGCTCTTGTTAACACACCGCAGCCCTGTACTGACAGGCGACAGGACAGCATAAAGAAATGGTTCCT